AAAAAAAAAGAATATAGAGTCGCATTTAGAAAACACAGTAAAAAATCTGTATGCGTAATCCCCTTTTTTGGACAAAATTCATTAAATTACTTAATGAATGATTTATAACATCACACTATGAAGTAGTTCTTTAAAGAGGCATTCTAAAAATGCCATCAGCTTCTTCATCAGATGACATCTTGGAAGATAGCCATTTGGAAGGAACTGTCTTTCTTTTGCATGCTAAGTATGTCTGGGCAAATGGATAAGTGGATCTGAAGTACAGATGGGGGAATCAGGGCAGAAGAGCTAGATTTGCCAGACATGTGCCTATAGGAGTTAGATCATACCTTAGTAGTATATGAAACTGCCCATAGGAAGCATTTAATGGAGGGGAGAGGAAGGCCCTGGACAGAACTCTGGAAAGAGCCAGCAGAGATCTCAATGTCAGTGAGAGGTCCAGGAAAAAGATGAGAGACACAGGAGAAGCGAGAGAATAGAGATTGGCTGAGTGCTAGATGCTGGCGAGAGGAAAGCATTTGGAGAAAGAGGGAATGGTTAACAGTAGCGACTCCCAACCTGTGTGTTGAAGACCTGGGTGAGGGTGGAGGAGGAAGAAACATGTAGCAAGCAGAGCCCGTGGCCTGTGCGTCTGTAATCACACTGAGCACTTTATACAGTTCGAAATTCAAAGATGTCTCCCACAGTACATATTGAAAATTTCCAAATTTATGTAAATGTTTGAGATCACCATTTCACTCACTAGATTTGGCTTGAAATTCCCTTTGGCTGCCTTTTAAGACCAGAATTACCCCACAAACACAAGACTTGTTCTTATCAAGATAGTCAAATGAATGTTCCAGGTTTCAAAGCACAATATGCAATTCACAGTACCTATCACAGCTAATCCCATGTGTGAATTGATGCATTTCTCTCTCCAAATTGACAGTGAAACACTTCAAGGGCAGGAGCCATATTCCCAAGCAGCTAGTATATTTTAGGGCACTTGCTAGGTTCTCAAAGTTTCTTGATGTTACTGAAATATCCAGGAGACAGGAGAGTCAGTTTAGTCATGAACTCCAAACAGCCATATGACTGAGGTTCTCACAATTTACCTGGGCACTTAATTTCTGTGTGGACTGCATCAGTGTTTACCATCTCAAATTTTCAACCATTCCTTCATTCAAAAATATATAAATGCCTAGTATATGCCAAGAACTGTGCTAGAAATTATGTCTTTCTGAG